AGGACGTACAGCGAATAGGCCGCCGTGCACGGGATGCATGGGATGCATGGGATGCACCCGATGCATGGGGGCATTGTCTCGCCGGTACACGACGTGCTACACGCGAAAACCTATGTTCGACGTCCAGGCGAATAAAGACGTCGCCCTCGATGAGGCGCCAGGACGCCCACGCCAGCTCGCCCGACACGCTCGTGCGCTCGCCTGCACTCGCGCGAATAAAAAAAAAACAAAAAAAAACAAAGGCGACACCCCAAACCGCCCCGGGTGAGAAATGTACTTTCTAGGAGAAATTACTCCTCGCCGAAGAAAATTTCCAAGCCCGATAAAATCATTTTTCAATTATCAAGATAACGAAACCCAGACGCTGGTGAATTGATATCAAGTGGAGGTGATATCTCCTGAAATGAATGAAAAAGATTCGCCTCAACTAACGAGGATGTTAATGAAAGAGTAATGTCATATGTGCCCATAATTATGAAAGTGGTCTAAGTCAAAATTAAAAAAAAAAAAAAATGAGTTTATCAGTTATTTCACGCCATATTATTTCAAACGAAATTAATTCAATGTAATTTCGAAACAAAAAATATATGACTTAGACCACTTTCATAATTATGGGCACATATGTCGGGTACTCTTATTTTCTCGACAGTAGCCAAAGATCAGCTGGATGCCATAATGCCGGTTTTTCTGGAGGGGACTTTCTTTCCCTCGGAGCATTCCCAAGGAGAAATTGGAAAAAAATGGAGGTGCAAAAAAAGGTGCACGACTCGATTAAATGTAAGGAATTAGGTACGGAGGAAGTAATTAACGAGTTACTTTAAAGGGGGTGGGGTACCGAGGCTCGGTTGACAATTACTCATTGTCGAGGAGAAAGAGGGCGCGATGTTCCGTCCGGGAATTCCGCTCCTCTACGCCGCTCGTCCCGGTGTTTATGTTTCAATTAACATGGCGTTCCGCGCGGAATTGCTTAATCCGTGTTCTAGCGGCTAACGAGGAGGCTCTATCGGCGCGATGATCGCCGGCGAGGGTTCCACGTCGACTGCACACGTCGTCGCTCGTGCACGTCCCCCGGTACGTGCGCCGTCGAGACGGCTCGGCGGGTTCGGCATTAATCAGCGATATCCATCGCCAGGAGTGAAGACCGCTGGGAAGGTGACGTCCCACGGGAGGATCGGCCGAATTTGTCCCGTGGGAGCCGGTCTACCGTGATACGCGACCCTGGGGCCCGATGTCGTCGATTTGTCGGTCCCACGTTCCAGTAATTGAAAGACCGCCGACCGGCCGACCGCCTCCAGAGAAGGAAACGTGGACTTGGCGCAAAGCTAAGTCCGGTAGAGATGAATCGATACGAATAAATACGGATGCTTCCTCGATACAAAGTATTTTTGGTAACGAGGAGATCATTTTTTAAATTAATTTCTGATCACTGTAATATAAAGGGGCGTCCGATATGAAAACCGCCGACCGGCCGACCGCCTCCAGAGAAGGAAACGTGCACTTGACGGGAAACTGTCAGCTAGGGATAAACCAAGTAAATTTTCTATCTACCTTCTTCGATACAGAATACCCGTCGGCACTTCTTATCTATACCAATGTACACCCAGTGGATGAAGAAAGGGTTACTAAAAAATGTAAAATGGATCTCAGTGAGGTGGATAAGTCCCCATTCTTGGGAATCCTCGAAGGAGGAGGGAGATAGCAAGGATTGCGGTTCGAGATCAAGTCTCTCTCTCCCGGTTCAAGGATATCTAGTTTATTAAGTGGCGCCTAGTTTCACCTCTGACTCCGTTCCTCGTCTTTCGGTAAACGATCCGCGCTCATCAAGGATAGGCGCTTAATTGCCGGTTCCAGTTAAGCGTGATATATGTTACGCGACCGCGCAAATAAAGGACCGAGAGGACGCACAAAAACAAAGGACTCGACGTCGGAAGGAGGGAGACGAGGAGGGACGCGAAAAGCGGCCACCTCGGGGAATCGACAAAGAGGCCGTGTCCCCGTCCCCGAGGAAGGTGCGGCATTCCGCGAGGCCGTTAAGCCAACAAAGTGAATCACCGATTTATCACCGATTTATCCTCGATTTAACGCGCCGCCGCCGAGGATGGCCCGTCCTTTGTGCGCCAGGAAGAGGGACTGTCCACCGGTCGTCCTTTGACCCGACGAGCGGCATGGAAGTCCTTCGGGACCCCTCTGTCAGGATCCCCCGTGCTCTCTGCGGACTCCCGGAAGTCCCGGAAGATCCTTTCCCCCGGAAAAATCCCGCTCCCCCCTCTAACCGTCCCTTTTAATCCTCGACTCCTGAACTCCTTAAGGGGACAGGAAAGCGGCGTCTACTAGCTTCCGAATCGTTCGAAATTCTCCCGCCTGAACGTGGAGGCGCTGGGGAAGGTCCCAACGCCCCTGAAATTTCACGTATGAAATCATTTCAAATGTTCCCAGAGAAATGGTTCCAAGTGAAGTCTTATAGGGTGGGCCCAGGAATGTTCGCGCGGGCCCTTTTCCCGGGAGGCAGGCGGAAAAGGCCGCGGAATGAAGACCGCAAGCGGGAAACGCGAGAGGCCGGGGACCCGCGGCGCGTTAACGGCAGAAACGCAAAGCCGAGGCGACAGTGACGGGGCCGTTAAAGTCCCCGCAGTTAACGTTTGAAACCACGACCCGGACCTCTGGGAGGCGTATATACATGCCGGGGCCTCATCGGGGCCTCATCCCATATGCGTCACCCGTGCCGGGACGCACGTCGGACTGGACTACTGTGCGCCATCTCGACGGACGTCACGGGAAATCGCGCCTCCACCCGACCGCATTCCTCCCGCAAATTAAACGCGAATTCCGTTATCGCGATTAAGGCGGAAAAAGGTAAAAAAAGAAGAGGAAGGAGACAAGCGCGCGGAGATGAAACTAATAAATTGTGAAAAAATGAACGAGGGGGGAGACATTTCTTTTTCTTTTTTTTCCGAGGAAATATGGAAAAGAGAGGCAAGGCCCGGGATTGTATTGGATCGGGCCCCGACGAACCTTCGCAGCGACGCCCGTCGTTCGGTAAATCATCCGACGTTTATTACAGTTAATTAGCCGGCCGCGGCCGGTCCGCGGGCCTGATTTGCATGAGGGGTCCGCGCGCGTATAGATGCGCGAGTGTGGGTACCCAGGAGTACTTGGCGCGGAACGCAGTCGCCGGCCCGCTTTCTCCTCTCCCGTGGGCCGTCGAAGAAGTAGTCGCGAGAGATAGGCGCCAGTCCCTAAAAAGGACTTGACATACGACTAGGGAAATAAGGAAAGACCTTACAAATGATAACGCTACAAACTGCGGTCGGGCATGCCATCCAGGGTAAAGAACGGCCTTAACTTCGCATACGAGGCCTAATCCCTGTCTCCGGAAACTTCATTTACTATATACACAAAATTCTTGAAAGTGTCATATAGGCCAATTTAAAGTAAAAATTGAAATCTCACGAGTGCCGGGACCTGCCTCACAGCCTCCGTATTGACCTTGTCAAATTTCAAATGATTCCGTACACCCACTTCGGGGAAAAGTACTATAAACGATTGATCCCTCTGACGCCCACTTTCGGCCCACCTTAATCGGGGCTTCTTTTTTAACACGTTGACTGCTACGTCGCCCATATTCGGGTGACGTAGCAGTCAAATAAAATGCGCGTGGCAGTCAACGTGTTAAGGTGAAGTGAAACCCCCTTCAAATCAGTCGATTCGAATACAACACTTTTTTTTAAGGGTAAAAGACCAAACTGTCCGAAACTTTGACACATCACTCCTGATCATCTAAGAATTGTCCCGACACGTTCAAAATTCGGATTTTTCAAAAAAAGCTTTTAACTCACCCCAGACCAGAACCAAAATGGCATCGAGCACTCATATTTCGATCAATATCGATAATTATCGAAGGCTATGATATGAGAATCGAAATGGTGAGGACAATTTTACGAGAATTTAGAACACTCTGATAGTCGATAAACTCGCATTTGAACGGGATAAAAGCAAAAAAAGTGTTGTATGCGCTTGTATGCTAAAACGATGGTAATTCGAGGTTTCGGAGAGAACATTTAATTGACCTGGAAATCATAGATGGCGCAGGGGGTCCCTCCGCAGTCAATTAGGGCCCCGGAAGGCATGAATCCAGAGGATTTCTGGAGTTTTACTTCGATTTCTTTATAATTACTGTACGAAAACGACAGGTGGAGTATGCCATTTCGTGCAACACCCAATACAATTCGACCCAGCTGTCGACATTAAAACGAACGTCGGCATCGTAGGCATTTAGAAAAATCTTCTTTACCGACGTCGACCAAGTTCCACATCACCTTGAGGTGCGTCTCCAAGAGTGCGTAAACTTCTAGGCGAGGTATCTCTCGATTGGCGAACCGCGGATTCCCAGGCGGTGGCGGGTCAGGCCGCCGGGTAAAGGGTGAATTACGATCGGCATTACGCTAGATAAAGGCGGTTTACACGGGCTCGGTACAAGAGTCGCGCGCGACTCGCGTCAGCCGCCCACTCTCGCGCGAGTACGCACACTCGCCTTCTATTCCCACCTTGGCCGTAATACCGCCTCGGCAAGTAGCGTAAGTAGCGTAAGTAGCCGCGCCGTGCGTCACGAGCCATCGGCGAAGATGAAACGCGTGAGTAGGCGGGGGCACGCGCGCTTAGGCTAATGACGCCCGAGAGCGGCGAAATGCAAGCGCAAAGTGCAAGTGCATGCTAATGCGAATCTAGGTACCTCACTCGGCGATTTTTTTTTACCGGCCGCATTGTTTTTTCTTCTTCTTCTTTTTTTTTTTCATATTTTTTCCTCTTTTTTTCTCACCGATTTGCGCTATCACGGTATACAAGAAGAGAGAAGCGATATCGATGCGGCACGTTAAGGCGACGTGAAAGGCGATCTTGAACGAGTAGACGTTAAAAAGGAAAATAAGTCTGAAATTATAACACGTGCCTTTAACATCACCTTGAGCGGGACAATATATATATATCGAGAGGAGCAAACTCACTTTTTAATGACGTCCATGCGAGGGATGAGCGCCCCCGGGACCATGATCTTGTCATAGCGGAGTCCGGCAGCGGTGAACTCCTAAAATCGACAGGAGAATAAGATTCCTACTGCGTAATTAACAACCACGTGGCGGAAAAAAAGGAAAGAAGAAGAAATAGAGGGAGAAAAATCGGGAGGATATCGATCGCGTCGCGTTAAAAGAATCAAGAGGAGAAAAGAATAGGAGAGGAGCGAGAGTTCTTTCCAACGGTGCAACCTGTAGATGACCTCTCGTCTCTCTCCAATACGTCTTTGGGTCGATCGCTCCTTCTCTTTCTTACGCCCGGCCACAGGTTGCCGTGTCCCGGAGAGTCATCGCCTTCCTTTTCTACCCTCTAAGTCCACCCACACCGTGGAAAATCCCGGCAAGTCCCCGTTTTTGCGTCCCCCTCCCCCAGTATATCCATAGAATTAAAAAGGAGAAATAAATAATTAAATAAACCTCCCCTAATTTATTTCCCAAGGGGGAAAATCCATCTCGATAAGGAAGGACCGTCGAGAGCGACGAGTCGCGGTTCTCGTCTCCGTCAGACAAATGGAATAAAATAAAAACGAGAAGGAGGACACAGAGGAACCCCCAAAGACAAGGTCCACACGTCGGGAGGAAAATGAAATCGACGGGAAGGGCGAGGAAATAAATAGTCCCCGTCCCGGGGGGTGGGAGAAGGGCCCAATCAATGTCGGTGTCGGACGTCGGGGACCAGGGCGGCCTTTCTTCGAATTCCTCTCGATGATCGATCTGCGGGGCCCGTTTTGGGCCCGCCGGACCCTCGATCTTCCGCCTCGGGGGTGGAGGGCACGACGGAAGGGTTGAACTTTCCGGGACTCTAGTGGGCCTCAGGACCCAGGGCCCGACGAAAAGTGGCTCATTAAGCGAGATGGACCCATTCCGAGTGCGTCCTGCCGCCGATACGATCTCCGGCTTATTCCGCCTCGAGAATAGGCCCCATCTCGACGGGCCCAGTCGGGCCCATTGTGAGACACCCCGAGACATTGACGAGGAGGGATGGCTTTTCTCTCTCCGGGCGATTATCGGCCAATTAGGGCCCGGGGTAAGACCCATCGATAGGGATTAATCCCGGGGCATTGCGGCCCCGGTTTCGGGTCCTGTTACGGCATTAAGGTGAAGTGAAACCCCTTTCAAATCGGTCGATTCGAATACAACACTTTTTTTTCAGGGTATTAGACCAAACCGTCCGAAACTTTGACACATTACTCCTGATCATCTAAGAATTGTCCTGACACATTCGAAATTTGGACTTTTCGAAAAAATTGTTCAACTTAGCCCAGACCAGAACCAAAATGACGTCGAGCTCTCATATTTCGATCGAGAGGCTCTGATATGAGAATCGAAAGGGTCAGGACAATTTTACGAGAATTTAGACCACTCTGGTAATCGATAAACTCGCATTTGAACGGGATAAAGGCAAAAAAAAGTGTTGTATGCGCTTGTATGCCAAAACGATGGGAATACGAGGTCTCGGAGTGAAAATTTAATTGGCCTGGAAATTACAGATGGCGCAGGGGGTCTCTGCAATCAATTAGGGCCCCAGAAAGCACGAATCCAGAGGATTTCTGGAGTTTTACTCCGATTTCTTTATAATTATTGTACGAAAACGACAGGCAGAGTATGCCATTTGGTACAATACCCAATACAATTCGACACAGCTGTCGATATAAAAACCAACGTCGGCAACGTAGGCATTTAGAAAAATCCTCTTTATCGACGTCGATCAAGTTCCTCGACGCGTTTCACTTCACCTTAAGGCGAGACGAAACCTCCTCCTCGAGCCAGTCGACTCGAATAAGTCACTTTTCTTGAAAAGCATCGCGCCGAATCCTCGTAAACTTTGCCACGTGGCTCGTGGGCATCTGAGAGATCTGGCGACACTATGAACATTTGGATTTCCGAAAGAATGGTAATAACTCTTGACTTAGCCTGAACGAGGACCAAAATGGCATTAATCTCTCGTATCTCGATCGGAGTGCAAATCTTGAAGGTTCTGTAGTTAAAGGGACCTTTCTTCTTTTTTTACCGACGTCGAGTGAATGTCTCGATGGATTTCACTTTGCCTTAATAAGGACACGGAGGAGGGTAGAGGGGAAGTCGAAATAAAGGACGAAACGCCACGTCTGCTTACCTTCTGGTCGTAATACCGAAAGGTGTTCGTCAGGTCGACGATGTGCTTGAGCCGCGGAAATGTTTTCAGCAACGTCGCAGTCGTGAATCTGGAACAGGGGAGGAAGACGCCCAATTTTTAATATCGGCCTCCGGTCGTACCGGGGACCGATCGATTATCGTAAAGAATTCACTTTACGTCGAGGGCGATCGTAAAAGTCGGCCAGGAGGTGCCCGGAGTACCGGATCCCCGAGGAATCCTCGAAACCCTGCCGAAGGCGCCCTTAATGTTGCAGGGGTTGTGCATCCTTAAGGTGCATCCTTTACACTCTTTAAACAAATTTATTAGAAAATATGAAATTTCGTGGGGGGCAGGACCTTCCTCATAGCCTCCATATTCACATTGTAAAATCTTTAAAGATTGCCTCTTAAGACTTTTAGGTAAAAATTGTCTTTTAAGAGAAGTACACCCAGTTTGGAGAAATGTTTCACGAAGGATCGATCCTTCGTCACTTTCACATCACCTTAAGGGCGCCTCGAGTTCCGATATTAATTTATTATCATTCTAGGCCCTAAATCGAAGGACGAGGCCCTGCACCTGTCGACAGGCGCCTCGACAGGTGCACAGGATCGTTGATTAGGATGTAAAGCGGATTCTTTCCTCCTCTTTTTTTTTTCTTTTTCCCTTTTTTTTTTCCTCGCTCCTTCGGGGGAAGAAAATGCGACTCACCGTTGGTCAGGCGGCAGATCCTTAACCAGGGTCTGAAACATAAACGGAATGATTCGGTGAAACCACAGGTAATTAATTCAAGTCGGCGTTCCGTCACGTCTACCCCGTCAAAGAGAGACATTACCGCCGGACATTACGCGCGGAGATAATGATCCGGTCATAATTGAAAAATCTGCACGCTCACCGAACGTGAACACTTGGAAATAGGCTGGAAAAGGTCCTTTTGCAGACAGGACTTTGCTGTACCGACGGCAAAAGGACTATTAATTGAAATAACAGAAAATACATCCACGGTTGCGGTATTCAATCCTGATGACGATAAAAGAAAAAAAAAAGATATATATATATATACCGCATATTCTGCCGATTAATGAGAATTTTCTTTGCTTGTTCTTACAAATTTATTTACCGATTTGGGTTGGCATTTTTTCTAGAGAAAGCTCTACGGCGTTTACATCTACGTTTCATGTAATTCTAGACTCTCTTGCTGTTGGCGAAATGATTATCGCAGAGAGAGCCTGAATTTTAATAGCAATGTTGTCCTTTGCTCGGAGGACATTTCAATTTATTTATTTTTTCTTTTCTTCTCCTTTTTCGGGAAAAGTACACCCATAATTCATGGGATCGGTGTTACCGCGTTCCTGCCGAAAGAAATGTGGAATGGAACCGGCTCCCTGCTCTTTCCCTCCACCTCCTAGCGTTATTATTAATTATTAGCGCGATTATGAGCGCCGAGTACGCGAGACTCGGGGATGCACTCTTGGATGCAAGGAACTGCATCCTGGCATGAGAGTGATCGATTGGATCGGGCCCAGTTATCGATGGGGCCCCATGACGAACGGCCCCAGCTTCGAATCGCCCGCGACGAGTTCTCATAAAAAATAATGGAACTAAAAATCGCTACCAAAGATTAAAGTCCTGATTTTCGGTAGTGCGCATCCACCCTGGGAAGTGGACATGTTCGATGGTCCCCCATGAGTTTCCCTTACATGTGGTATCCAAAATTATATAGGCTCTCATAAAAAACAATGAACTAAAAATCGCTACCAAAGATTAAAGTCCTGATTTTCGGTAGTGCGCATCCACCCTGGGAAGTGGACATGTTCGATGGTTCCCCATGAGTTTCCCTTACATGTGGTATCCAAAATTATATAGGCTCTCATAAAAAACAATGGAACTAAAAATCGCTACCAAAGATTAAAGTCCTGATTTTCGGTAGTGCGCATCCACCATGGGAAGTGGACATTATCGATGGTCTCCCGTGAGTTTCCCTTACAGGTGGTTTATAAACAATTAACGCCTTAGAAAACGTACATCCAAAATTATATAGGCTCTCATAAAAAACAAGTGAACTAAAAATCGCTACCAAAGATTAAAGTCCTGATTTTCGGTAGTGCGCATCCACCATGGGAAGTGGACATGTTCGATGGTCCCCCATGAGTTTCCCTCGCGGGTGGTCTAGCGGCAATTACGGGCATAGAGAAGGGAAAGAGATAGAAGGGAGATCCGAAATTATTTGGGCGGGCGCGATCGGTATCGCGATCGAGTGTCGGAGCGTGCATCGAGCGATTAGGACCTAACCTCAAAAACGTGAAGTCGACCAAAGGTAAAAAAAAAAAAAAGAGAGAGAGATCGAAAGGTATCGATGTCTAGGCTCGATGTCGATTTATACGAGAGGGTGCCGCGCTGGTCACGCTCCCGAATCGGCAACCGAAATCGCCTCGGAAATTAACCGAATTAAGCCTTCGATTAGGCCTGCCCCCGGCCCCAACCGATGTATCATGCAGTTTCGATGCCCCACTCCCTCTTCCCTCTCCGTTTCGTCATCTAAAAGTGTTTCGGGGCCCCGGAGAAAAAAAAGAAAAAAAAAACGAAAATGGGCCCCCAAAAAAAGGCGCGCAGATATTTATAGGCCGCGCGGGAGTCCGCAAAAGGGCCCTCGGCTCGTGCCGGAAAATAAACGCAAGGCCGTCGACATACTTTATTTGGCGGTAGGGCGGCCTTTCTTGAAATTTCGGGCCTTATTTTTAGCGAAAGCCTTTAAGGCCCCCCTCGGGAGAGAGACAGGGCCGATTTACTCGCATTAGCCGAACGACACTTTGTATCTACCGGAGGCCTTTTCGGCACCGGCGAATACCTAGTTTCTTGGACGGGCCCCGCCCGTGGGCCCGTCATCGGGCCCGTAAACTCGGGGAGGTTAAGCAGTCGTACAAAGTAGCGAAAAGGGAGCTAAAAATGAGAGAAGGTAACGATGCGAAATTCCGATCGCGGGCCCAAACTAGGGCTGCGCCGAAATCCCTCGCGTAAAATCGGGGCCTCATCGGCGACTTATAGAGGCGTCGAAGAAAAAAAAGAAAAAAGAAATATGGCGGGTCGCGTTTCCAATCTCGGCGCCCTTTGAGGTCCCTGAAACGATCCGACGGCGGATCGGCCAACGACAAATCCGAATTTACCGATCGGCCGTGGTTTTGGGCCTTCTAAAAATACGCGAGCTCGCGTGGGAGGGATCAGGCCCCTGGGAGGACCCCGGGAGAGAGAAACTGCGGGGGTGCATTCCGATCGATCGAGATGAAATCAATTTTTCGTTAACCCTCTATGTTAAAGGGAGAAAGAAGGAGAGAGAGAGAGAGGACAGAAAGAAGAAAGACGCGTCGGGCCCGACGCACGGCGTTCGGGCCCATTTTCGACGCGCTTTGAAAAGAGGGCATAAACGTTTCGTCGTGTAAAATTGCAAACCAAAGTTAAAAAAGGGGTTTAACCGCGAACGTCAAGTAACTCGAGGAGCGAAGAGCGTCCCGTGCGAAGGAAGCGGCCGAGCTGCGGAATTCGCGGCGAACTCCTTTCGGGGCCCGTCCATCGGAGCAAAGGGCCCGAGAGGGGGGGGGCCCAAAATGACGAGGAGAGATTTACGTATTTGCGCCCGCCAGAGCGAGAGGGAGACACCTATGGCGAGAAGCAAATACGAAGATTTACGATGCTCCTTCGGGAAAGGATCGAGTCGGTCTCCTCCCGGGACGAAGAAGGACCGACGGGGGCCGCGTAAGGCCCCGGGCCCACCTGCGAAATTTACTAACTCGACCGAGCCCCAGGGGCAGTTTATTTTCCCCGGGGCCCAAGGCCCGGCGAAGGGCGAGATCTCGGCCGCGATCCCGTCCCTCAATTTCGCGATCCTGGGGCCTAAAATATTACCAGGCCCAAATCGGAATTCCTGGCCAGGGCCCGTCCATCCGAGGCCCCCCGCGAGCGTCGCGGCGATCTCTAAAAAAAATCCTTAGGGCCCCGAAGGTCCCGTTCGGTCCCCTCCCCGACGACTCGCGGAATACAGGGAGTACCGCACACCGGAAGGACTTTGGGCATTAAGGCCGTGATTTGTTAAGATCCTCGGGCCCAAAACGGAGGCCTGGGCGCGGCCGAAAGAAAGAAAATAAAATCCGAGCAGCGCGTTAAATCACGCTTTGCCTCACGCCTGTCCGAGTTCACGGAGGCATTATTCGCGCACTCGACCGGCATAAGGCCCAAATTCCTTGGATAGGTCTTGCTCGTACTCGCGCGCGACGCGGGGCGTCGCTCTCGCGAGGACGTAGGCGTCGTCCAACGGAAGGTATCGACGGTATTTATTGGGAATATTTATGAGGGGTGGGCATTCGTGCTTCCCTGAGCCCGAGTGGGCCGTAATGCCCAAGAGGCCTCAAACGACGCCGACACGGCCGACGACGGTCGTTCGCCGGGAGGCCGAGAGGCGGCGCGAGCGTCGTTCTCACAGTCGGTTCGGGCCCCGCGCCCGTACTCCCACTCCCTCGCAAAAACGGGCCCCACCGTGGGAATCCGTTGCACAGGGCCCGATTTCGCGTCCCCTCTTCCACGTGACCCGTTATCATATATCCAGCCGAGTCTCGGCTCGGCAATCGCGTTCGACCGAAATCCCCATCAATCGACGGAAAGCGGAAACTATTCCGAATCCCATGGCTAAGTCCCCGCGGATAGTGGCGCCATTACGGGCGTCGGGAGTACCGGAAAGCTCTGGGAAGATGAAAGGGCGGGGCCGCAAGAAGGGGCCCGATTTCGCCGCACGATCGCGGCCAACGGTTATGCGCCGCCATACAGAATCCCATATAGACTGCTATATGGCCGCCGCGAGGTGATGCATGCCCGACGTTATCCGTATCTCACTTACTTCCTCGTTTGGCAGAAGACTCGGGGCGATTTAAAATGGGTCACTCCAAGAGACGCGAGCCGGATACATCGATTCCGCCGTCCCGTTTTTCCTGCGGGATCAGCCGGGATCTCGAGATCGCGAGAGGGCTCCCGGCATCGATTCCGCCAGCGAGTCTCCCGTCTTTCCCGCGGGATCTACCAGGATCCATCCATCTCGGATCGCGGGAGGGCCCGACGGTCCCAAAATCGACATTCCGAGTCATTAGTCCGAGACAGGCGGGAAAAACGGTTGCCGGGGAGGCGCGCCGCCTCGTGAGTGGGACCTAAGGCCCATTTGGCCAATCTACCCGGGGCCCTTTTCAGGGAAATCAATAACCCGTCGATCACCGCCGGCGAGAAGCGCCCGGTGGGGCCCCATTGTGTTCCCGAATTGGCCATTAAGCGTTTCCGAAGATATCATCAGGCCCAGAACGAGTTTATTGCCTCCGAGGTGGCTGGCCCTGCCGTTATACCGGGGCCCGTGTTCCCCGGACCTCGGAGGGCCTCATTGGGCCTCATCGGGGGCCCTTTTCTCGCGGCATAGCGCCGCGCCCTCTGGCCGGTAATGGTGCCGGTAGCCGCGGGGAACCCACGAGGCTTTGCCCGGTTTCTTCCCTAATTTATGTCAGCCTTCTGTCGTGATCCGGCCGCCGATAGGGGAGGGGAGGGGGCGGCAATTAAAGGGCGCTCTTTCCCTTTCGGAAAACGGGCCCAAACGGGCCCAAACGGGCCTCCACCGTTCCCTGGAAAGTTCCCGCGTTTAGGATCGTTTAAAACAATCCGGGATGATTAATGCGGCCGACATCTACTGACTAATGGGAATCGCGTTCGCGAAGCG